TTCCTAATTTATTTTCTTGATTTGGAGAATTCCAGTAGAAATGTAGAGCAAACAAACTTTTTGTGTATTAGTGTTCTTGGGTATTTGTTGCCCATGAATTTTATACTATTCCTTTGTATTCTAATTGTTTTTATAAAACTAGGAAATGGAAATGTGAATATTTTTTTCACACAGTGAAATTAATTGAATTAACTCCTAATTTACTCATTTTTGTTCTTAATATATTAATGAGATCTTTGGAGTAAGCATGCTTACTCACAGTCAACTGGAAAGGGTTTAGTACTCTTAGGTTTGGATTATAAACAACTTCCTTTGTCTCTTCTCTTTAGCCCAAATAGCTAAATCCATGTACCAAATTCATCCCAACAATATTCAGCCTTCTTTTATTGAACATTTTAAAGCTGCTGTGCTGGATGGTGGAGGTCGTAAAGAGGGATAAAATGCCATCCTTGCTGTCTTGCAGCTTGTAGGGAAGAGGAGTCCCAGGATGTTATGTGACTGCAGAATTATTTGGAAATGTAAATTTTAATAAAAAGGGATTCTCAAGTATACTGTTAGGACAGTGCCAATTTATTTTGCAGCTGATTTTTATTATATACAAGACTATCTTTCATTCAGTTTATTTAATATTTAGAAGTTTAAGACTGATTTTGATATTTTATGGTTGCCATATGTCTGGCAACATCTTTTAGAAGGGTGCTGGAGTTACCATGATATCTAGAAATGAATTGTTTCTGGGTATTAAATGAAATTTTTGTTTGTTGGTTTTGTTAGGTGGTGATGGAGTCAATGTAGAAGAAGATGGGAAAACAAAGAAAAGTCAGAAGGCTGATGAAGAACAAATTGCTAAATATAGGCAGCTCTTGCAGGTTATTCAAGAAAAAGAAAAGAAAGGCAAAGAAAATGATATGGAAATGGAAATTAAGTGGGTTCCAGGTAAGAATTAGATACTAACTAAATGTTTTCTCTTCTTCATTTCAGGATGTTGAGTGCAGTTTAGAAGTGTAACTCTTCTTTAGAAAGAAACTTAAAAAATCTTATTTTCCAGAAATGTTTTGGTGAGGACCTTAACGTAGTATTTGCATACACCATTTAACTCACTTAGGGACTAGATTTTTAGACTCTTACCAACTTTTCTTGATTGGTTTCTTTGATTTACTAACTATAAATTATTTCTATCCATTTATGAGAATAGACCTAGGTTAATTTTATTATTCTCAGGATATAGAAACTTGAATTCAGGAATCATGTGTTCT